TCTTTACCAGCCAAGCTTAGTACCCTCACTCAAGTATAACCACCGAATCTGAACCGGAATGCACCAATACGAATGCACCGGGACCTTACCAGCCGCGGCTGTCGTCAATAGCAGCACAAACAGAAGCAACGGTAGCGCCGCAGCCGTGGTGGCAGCACCTTGCTTCATCAGAGCCATGGCAAAGAAATTGATACTGACTCGGATAGTGAAGCGTGAGAGGAATAGCTGGTGAGCAGAATAGGTGGTTGGCTGGGATGTTTGGGAGAAGGTGAGCGTCTACTGATGGAAATGAGAGATGACGAGCGTGTTATATAGGTCTCCCCATTACTAGGAGTGGGGTCGTTGTGCGGTTGGGACTCCCACGACATAGCCGTTTCTCTTTGCGATGCTGTGCGTGGCGCTCACACGCTGTGCGTGACGCTCACACGCGGTGCGTCGCAGGAATGTTGCGCATGTTTCGGCGTACACACAGGTGAGACTTTCCCAAGCACAGCGGCTGCGGAAACCCAGACTTTCGTAGCACATGTTTCTGTAATACAGCGTGTGATGTTCGCGCCGTGCCTGGGAGCGGGAGAGGGCTCAGGCCCTCAGAGATAGGGGAGGGTTGGAAAAGATTCTCTGGTGGCGGGATGACATTTCTTGTTTCGCGCCAGGTCGAACCAAATGCTGAAGTAGCTCGTTATGCATCGCATCGCAGGCTGGTGCGAAAAATGCGAATAGATTTTCCTTCCAACGAAAGGAATTCCCTTCCAGTGCTGCGAAAGTTTCCACAGCAGCGCTGGCGGGGCCGAATGCCTCGTCGGAATTCGGTCGACAGAACGGAATTGCCAGTGTCGTCGAGGGGGGTCGTCAAAGCCTGGGCTGACGGGACGGAGCACTGACGCGCGTGCGGGCCCGCGAGCCTGGCCCAGGGCTGGGCCGAGCGCACGACCGCCGCCCCGCAGCCCAGCTCCGAATGTGAACAGCGGCCCACGTTACCGGGTGGGGTCGGCGAACTGGCGACAACTCGCGCATGGGAAAATTACCCTCGCGCGAAGGCAGCCCACACGTGCCACCTGCCCGCGAGGTCCTAGTAACCCATCGCGGCCTGCCCGGACGGGCAGGCGAGGGCCAGGCAAAAATTTGCGGCCCCCTCGGGACACTCGACAATTTCGCGACCCATTGCGGTGACGCCACGTGTTTGCCCACTACTTCGCATCGGGCAACATGAAGAATTTGGGACATTGCGAATTCGATTTCGATCGCTTCGCGGTGCACATTTTTCGCGATCGGCTCCGAAATCGACACGTGTCGGACGAAACGATGCACCGCACGCATGCGAAATTGCGTCCCATGACCGACCGAGGCCACGGGACGTGACATCAACTTGCTAGCTCGGCGGCGAATGAGTACTTGTGCCACTTGTGCACGAACCCGCCAAACCCCGCCGAGGCAGGCACCACGAGGGCCGGGCGATGCCTCGACCGTTCCTATGGGGCACCGACCCCCTTTTCTTGGTGGAAGGGGGCATCGCTCCTCATTTTCGGCATCTCGTTTCCCTTTCCACCTTTTCCTCAGCTCTGCACCTTCTCCCACATTCACGTACCTTAGCTTGTAGCCGCTTCCCTTCCCCGCCATGTCGGCCGCCCCGAAAGTCAGCAAAGTGACGCCGACTTCGCAGGACTTCCCTCTGTATCTCGACCTGGGTAGTGGACTCACTGCCAAGCTCGACAAACACAACTACGCCGTCCTCGTAGACCACAGGCTAGAGTTCAACGCCCGTTGCTTGGGATTCGGCCTCAAGTGAGTGTCTGTATTGGGATGTCGGCGTCGACCTCTGGATACCTTGAAGGTCGATGTTGTTAGGGTTGTCCCACGTTTTGGTCGGTGCTACTAGTTTAGGGTTTAGATCACTACTCGGTGACGCACACAGCCGTGAGTCGGCACCGGACTCCGATCGCAACAGTAGGTCGGTGCCCGCATCGGTAGGCGCCATTGATTACAACATCGAGTCGGCGGTGCACCGTTGTACTATCGCCATCCCCGTCATTTGTCGGTTCCAGAACCCACGTGTCCATCCGTCGTGCCTTGCAGGTCCTCACACACATCTACTACCCATGCATGCGTGCAGGCACGCATGGATTCGCGCGGAGCCGGCCAACATGCGATTGTGGTCGATAGGACTCGGCCGGCTTCGGGCGGCGATGGGCAAGGAAGACCACTCATGCTTTGCTACGGCGTTCGACGCCGACGTAGCTGTTATCCCCCTGCATTCGAGGTGAGCCTAAGTCATGATGGTGTGCCATGATGCCTATGTCGCTGCTCCGTTTTGATCGACGTTGTGGTGCCTAGCCTGTGCAGCATCGCACCGCTTCCGGGAGCACATTGCAGCGCCGTGGTCATCCTGTACCCCGGCGACTTGTTGCGGGCCGGGGGGGAGACGATGAGGACCTCGGTCCGGCACTTTGACCCGCAAACCGTGAAGCAGTGGCATCGCGACGAGGCGATCCGCGTGCTGAAGTGAGCTCGATAGTGTAGTCGACGACGCATGCAGTTTTGCCGCTGGGCGTTAAGCAAGTCTACTGACGATATGTGCCATGTTGCTTCAGGTTTTTCCGGGCGGCGGTGCTGGCCGAGCTCGGCCGCGATGGCCGGCAGTGGGAGTGGCTGAAGCCTTCTGCTGAAGAGGTGGCGGACAGGCTCGCCGACTGCGATGAACTCGTTCGAGATGTGAGTACCGATCGTTTTACCGTCCTAGCGCGATGCCATTGCCGCCGTCGGTGCTCATCCTTGCTCTCTGGTCTGTTGTTTGCAGAAAGTGCGCGACACCGTCCGGGACAGCGACGCGGGCTCTGGCCTCCTATCAATGAGCGCGCTGTGCTGGGTGGTGAAGAGGATGGATCGCCTGACCGGCGACGACCGTCGCAGTGCGACTAGCATGGACAAGGTTCTCGTTTTGGGGTTGAAGGAGCTGCGGATTTGGATGATCACATTCATCAAGGAACATGTCGCACGCAAACGGTCAGGCCATGTCGGAGTTGTTGCCGACACCTTTGACGACGACGCCACGGAGCCCCCTTCGACATCCCAAGCAGTCGGTGTCGCCGACACTAGCGGAGAGGCCGGAGACGGCGTCGACAAGGCAGATGAGGAGGCAGAAAGGGCTGTGGCGAGGACCGCAGATCAAGAAGAGGAGGAGGAGGATGCCAACGATGATCAGGATGATAACGAGGAGGAGCGTGAGGAGCGTGAGCAGGGGCATGGGCAGGAGGAGGAGGAGGAGGAGGAGGAGGAGGAGGAGGAGGAGGAGGAGGAGGAGGAGGAGGAGGAGGAGGAGGAGGAGGAGGAGGCGGCCAAGCTGGCATTTCCAAAATATTTGGACAAATCAATTTGCAACCGATAGTCGCGGCGTGATGCAAGGCCAATGCAACATTCGCAGGTTCCGATTCGCCACTGCTATTACTGTACAAATTTGTTATACTGATTCGTTGAGAACTCCTGCATAATTTGTGATCCCACTCATTTTCCCTGATACCCATATTACGGTACTTGTGATGCCGTGTCACGAATGAACATATGCTTGAAGCCAGGGTCTCACGTACTACAAGTGCTTTGCAATTGTTGGTGAAAGTGTGGCTTTGATTGGTTGGCGAGGTGTAAGGTTCGAAGTGGGGTGAAGCGAGGGGTGCGAAGCGAAAGTAAATCGCTGGGGGCAACCAAACCATCTAGGCTTGGAAACTTGGTTCGAGTACCCATAAGTGTTGTGCAATTGCTTTTGGCGCAGTGACGCAAGCTGAGTTTCCAATCCAACCAGAGACAACTTCGCCAGCACTAACTTGGTTACCTAGCTTACATGAGACCCTGGCTTTGAGGCTGTAAGAGCAGGAAGTCCTCCAGAAGTTCAGGTAAGACGATTCTATTACTGACTGCACTGATCCAGTTGCTGCTGCCACACTGGTCAGCCATCCAACTCTGGGGGCCAAAGCAGCATGCTTCTCGCCATGCATTGTTTCGATGTGTCTAGATTTCATAGAAGATGGCGACTCGCAGCCTTCGCTCTGCGGAACGCACAGCGGGCCTACCTCACCGTCCTTTCGCCGTGTCCGTGATTTTTCCCCGTTTTGCCCGCCGCGCCGCGCCGTGTCGCGCTGCTACGGCGAACTCACTCAGCCCGCCTCGTCGCTGTTTACTGCCGCCGTGCCGCTATGGCGACGACAGGCGAGTCTCGTCATGTTGTGGCTGACCTTGACCGGCGAGGGGGGTAGGGTTTGCACGATGGTGTGAGTACGGCGAGCGACCAGGAGAAGACTTGCAGAGTATCTGAGCTTTGAGGTTCGCGAACTCAACTCATCTTCAGCGAAAGCAATGCTAAGTGGACCTAAAGAGTATTGGTTTTGCTTCCATGAGACCCTCCGTATTGTAACCCTCCAGCAACGAGTCTTATTCGAACATCTGACGACTTTTTTGTAACCCGAGACGAATTGAATCCCGGAATTGTCACCGGGCCGATGGCTTCCAGCCATGGCAATGCAGTTTTGAACGAGACCATGGCTGCACTCCAACTCACACAGCCCTCACAGCCCCCCGGTGCTGGGCAACTTCACGAGGTGAGCGTGATGTTGTGAGCAGTGAATCCTACTTTCCCGTTTCCTCGAGTATGTTCTTTGAGAGTAACCCTCCTCCGGTGCTGGGCATTCTCACGAGGTGAGCTTGATGTTGTGAACAGCGAATTCAACTCTAACTTCCCCCTTTTCCTCGCGCATCATCCCCGAGTCCTCTCCTATTCTCTCTCTCCCGCTCTCTTCCGCTCTCATCTCCAGTGCTTCTCATCCCCCACCCGCCTGATCCACGACGTGGTTGCTCTGCTGCCCGGCCCCATCCGGCGCATTATCTTCCGCCACCTGTTGTTGCCGCCGAAGGATTCCGAGCGTGGAACGTTTTTCTTCATTCATCTCTCCCCCACGCACCTGATCCAGAACGCGGTTGATCTGCTGCTTGGCCACATCTGTTTTTGAGGCGCCTCAAAACCCGGCCCCATCCGGCACATCATCCTCCGCCACCTGCTGCTGTGCTTCCACCAGCATATTCCGCTCAGCTGCAGCAGAACCGGGAGAATTCTTCAGAGGGAATATCATCGTGGGGACCAGACAGCAGTTCTCCATCGTGAGTCGATGCTCTGAGGTGCTGTCCTCTCCTCCACCGTGAGTCGATGCTCTGAGGTGCTGTCCTCTCCTCCACCGTGAGTCGATGCTCTGAGGTGCTGTCCTCTCCTCCACCGTGAGTCGATGCTCTGAGGTGCTGTCCTCTCCTCCACCGTGAGTCGATGCTCTGAGGTGCTGTCCTCTCCTCCACCGTGAGTCGATGCTCTGAGGTGCTGTCCTCTCCTCCACCGTGAGTCGATGCTCTGAGGTGCTGTCCTCTCCTCCACCGTGAGTCGATGCTCTGAGGTGCTGTCCTCTCCTCCACCGTGAGTCGATGCTCTGAGGTGCTGTCCTCTCCTCCACCGTGAGTCGATGCTCTGAGGTGCTGTCCTCTCCTCCACCGTGAGTCGATGCTCTGAGGTGCTGTCCTCTCCTCCACCGTGAGTCGATGCTCTGAGGTGCTGTCCTCTCCTCCACCGTGAGTCGATGCTCTGAGGTGCTGTCCTCTCCTCCACCGTGAGTCGATGCTCTGAGGTGCTGTCCTCTCCTCCACCGTGAGTCGATGCTCTGAGGTGCTGTCCTCTCCTCCACCGTGAGTCGATGCTCTGAGGTGCTGTCCTCTCCTCCACCGTGAGTCGATGCTCTGAGGTGCTGTCCTCTCCTCCACCGTGAGTCGATGCTCTGAGGTGCTGTCCTCTCCTCCACCGTGAGTCGATGCTCTGAGGTGCTGTCCTCTCCTCCACCGTGAGTCGATGCTCTGAGGTGCTGTCCTCTCCTCCACCGTGAGTCGATGCTCTGAGGTGCTGTCCTCTCCTCCACCGTGAGTCGATGCTCTGAGGTGCTGTCCTCTCCTCCACCGTGAGTCGATGCTCTGAGGTGCTGTCCTCTCCTCCACCGTGAGTCGATGCTCTGAGGTGCTGTCCTCTCCTCCACCGTGAGTCGATGCTCTGAGGTGCTGTCCTCTCCTCCACCGTGAGTCGATGCTCTGAGGTGCTGTCCTCTCCTCCACCGTGAGTCGATGCTCTGAGGTGCTGTCCTCTCCTCCACCGTGAGTCGATGCTCTGAGGTGCTGTCCTCTCCTCCACCGTGAGTCGATGCTCTGAGGTGCTGTCCTCTCCTCCACCGTGAGTCGATGCTCTGAGGTGCTGTCCTCTCCTCCACCGTGAGTCGATGCTCTGAGGTGCTGTCCTCTCCTCCACCGTGAGTCGATGCTCTGAGGTGCTGTCCTCTCCTCCACCGTGAGTCGATGCTCTGAGGTGCTGTCCTCTCCTCCACCGTGAGTCGATGCTCTGAGGTGCTGTCCTCTCCTCCACCGTGAGTCGATGCTCTGAGGTGCTGTCCTCTCCTCCACCGTGAGTCGATGCTCTGAGGTGCTGTCCTCTCCTCCACCGTGAGTCGATGCTCTGAGGTGCTGTCCTCTCCTCCACCGTGAGTCGATGCTCTGAGGTGCTGTCCTCTCCTCCACCGTGAGTCGATGCTCTGAGGTGCTGTCCTCTCCTCCACCGTGAGTCGATGCTCTGAGGTGCTGTCCTCTCCTCCACCGTGAGTCGATGCTCTGAGGTGCTGTCCTCTCCTCCACCGTGAGTCGATGCTCTGAGGTGCTGTCCTCTCCTCCACCGTGAGTCGATGCTCTGAGGTGCTGTCCTCTCCTCCACCGTGAGTCGATGCTCTGAGGTGCTGTCCTCTCCTCCACCGTGAGTCGATGCTCTGAGGTGCTGTCCTCTCCTCCACCGTGAGTCGATGCTCTGAGGTGCTGTCCTCTCCTCCACCGTGAGTCGATGCTCTGAGGTGCTGTCCTCTCCTCCACCGTGAGTCGATGCTCTGAGGTGCTGTCCTCTCCTCCACCGTGAGTCGATGCTCTGAGGTGCTGTCCTCTCCTCCACCGTGAGTCGATGCTCTGAGGTGCTGTCCTCTCCTCCACCGTGAGTCGATGCTCTGAGGTGCTGTCCTCTCCTCCACCGTGAGTCGATGCTCTGAGGTGCTGTCCTCTCCTCCACCGTGAGTCGATGCTCTGAGGTGCTGTCCTCTCCTCCACCGTGAGTCGATGCTCTGAGGTGCTGTCCTCTCCTCCACCGTGAGTCGATGCTCTGAGGTGCTGTCCTCTCCTCCACCGTGAGTCGATGCTCTGAGGTGCTGTCCTCTCCTCCACCGTGAGTCGATGCTCTGAGGTGCTGTCCTCTCCTCCACCGTGAGTCGATGCTCTGAGGTGCTGTCCTCTCCTCCACCGTGAGTCGATGCTCTGAGGTGCTGTCCTCTCCTCCACCGTGAGTCGATGCTCTGAGGTGCTGTCCTCTCCTCCACCGTGAGTCGATGCTCTGAGGTGCTGTCCTCTCCTCCACCGTGAGTCGATGCTCTGAGGTGCTGTCCTCTCCTCCACCGTGAGTCGATGCTCTGAGGTGCTGTCCTCTCCTCCACCGTGAGTCGATGCTCTGAGGTGCTGTCCTCTCCTCCACCGTGAGTCGATGCTCTGAGGTGCTGTCCTCTCCTCCACCGTGAGTCGATGCTCTGAGGTGCTGTCCTCTCCTCCACCGTGAGTCGATGCTCTGAGGTGCTGTCCTCTCCTCCACCGTGAGTCGATGCTCTGAGGTGCTGTCCTCTCCTCCACCGTGAGTCGATGCTCTGAGGTGCTGTCCTCTCCTCCACCGTGAGTCGATGCTCTGAGGTGCTGTCCTCTCCTCCACCGTGAGTCGATGCTCTGAGGTGCTGTCCTCTCCTCCACCGTGAGTCGATGCTCTGAGGTGCTGTCCTCTCCTCCACCGTGAGTCGATGCTCTGAGGTGCTGTCCTCTCCTCCACCGTGAGTCGATGCTCTGAGGTGCTGTCCTCTCCTCCACCGTGAGTCGATGCTCTGAGGTGCTGTCCTCTCCTCCACCGTGAGTCGATGCTCTGAGGTGCTGTCCTCTCCTCCACCGTGAGTCGATGCTCTGAGGTGCTGTCCTCTCCTCCACCGTGAGTCGATGCTCTGAGGTGCTGTCCTCTCCTCCACCGTGAGTCGATGCTCTGAGGTGCTGTCCTCTCCTCCACCGTGAGTCGATGCTCTGAGGTGCTGTCCTCTCCTCCACCGTGAGTCGATGCTCTGAGGTGCTGTCCTCTCCTCCACCGTGAGTCGATGCTCTGAGGTGCTGTCCTCTCCTCCACCGTGAGTCGATGCTCTGAGGTGCTGTCCTCTCCTCCACCGTGAGTCGATGCTCTGAGGTGCTGTCCTCTCCTCCACCGTGAGTCGATGCTCTGAGGTGCTGTCCTCTCCTCCACCGTGAGTCGATGCTCTGAGGTGCTGTCCTCTCCTCCACCGTGAGTCGATGCTCTGAGGTGCTGTCCTCTCCTCCACCGTGAGTCGATGCTCTGAGGTGCTGTCCTCTCCTCCACCGTGAGTCGATGCTCTGAGGTGCTGTCCTCTCCTCCACCGTGAGTCGATGCTCTGAGGTGCTGTCCTCTCCTCCACCGTGAGTCGATGCTCTGAGGTGCTGTCCTCTCCTCCACCGTGAGTCGATGCTCTGAGGTGCTGTCCTCTCCTCCACCGTGAGTCGATGCTCTGAGGTGCTGTCCTCTCCTCCACCGTGAGTCGATGCTCTGAGGTGCTGTCCTCTCCTCCACCGTGAGTCGATGCTCTGAGGTGCTGTCCTCTCCTCCACCGTGAGTCGATGCTCTGAGGTGCTGTCCTCTCCTCCACCGTGAGTCGATGCTCTGAGGTGCTGTCCTCTCCTCCACCGTGAGTCGATGCTCTGAGGTGCTGTCCTCTCCTCCACCGTGAGTCGATGCTCTGAGGTGCTGTCCTCTCCTCCACCGTGAGTCGATGCTCTGAGGTGCTGTCCTCTCCTCCACCGTGAGTCGATGCTCTGAGGTGCTGTCCTCTCCTCCACCGTGAGTCGATGCTCTGAGGTGCTGTCCTCTCCTCCACCGTGAGTCGATGCTCTGAGGTGCTGTCCTCTCCTCCACCGTGAGTCGATGCTCTGAGGTGCTGTCCTCTCCTCCACCGTGAGTCGATGCTCTGAGGTGCTGTCCTCTCCTCCACCGTGAGTCGATGCTCTGAGGTGCTGTCCTCTCCTCCACCGTGAGTCGATGCTCTGAGGTGCTGTCCTCTCCTCCACCGTGAGTCGATGCTCTGAGGTGCTGTCCTCTCCTCCACCGTGAGTCGATGCTCTGAGGTGCTGTCCTCTCCTCCACCGTGAGTCGATGCTCTGAGGTGCTGTCCTCTCCTCCACCGTGAGTCGATGCTCTGAGGTGCTGTCCTCTCCTCCACCGTGAGTCGATGCTCTGAGGTGCTGTCCTCTCCTCCACCGTGAGTCGATGCTCTGAGGTGCTGTCCTCTCCTCCACCGTGAGTCGATGCTCTGAGGTGCTGTCCTCTCCTCCACCGTGAGTCGATGCTCTGAGGTGCTGTCCTCTCCTCCACCGTGAGTCGATGCTCTGAGGTGCTGTCCTCTCCTCCACCGTGAGTCGATGCTCTGAGGTGCTGTCCTCTCCTCCACCGTGAGTCGATGCTCTGAGGTGCTGTCCTCTCCTCCACCGTGAGTCGATGCTCTGAGGTGCTGTCCTCTCCTCCACCGTGAGTCGATGCTCTGAGGTGCTGTCCTCTCCTCCACCGTGAGTCGATGCTCTGAGGTGCTGTCCTCTCCTCCACCGTGAGTCGATGCTCTGAGGTGCTGTCCTCTCCTCCACCGTGAGTCGATGCTCTGAGGTGCTGTCCTCTCCTCCACCGTGAGTCGATGCTCTGAGGTGCTGTCCTCTCCTCCACCGTGAGTCGATGCTCTGAGGTGCTGTCCTCTCCTCCACCGTGAGTCGATGCTCTGAGGTGCTGTCCTCTCCTCCACCGTGAGTCGATGCTCTGAGGTGCTGTCCTCTCCTCCACCGTGAGTCGATGCTCTGAGGTGCTGTCCTCTCCTCCACCGTGAGTCGATGCTCTGAGGTGCTGTCCTCTCCTCCACCGTGAGTCGATGCTCTGAGGTGCTGTCCTCTCCTCCACCGTGAGTCGATGCTCTGAGGTGCTGTCCTCTCCTCCACCGTGAGTCGATGCTCTGAGGTGCTGTCCTCTCCTCCACCGTGAGTCGATGCTCTGAGGTGCTGTCCTCTCCTCCACCGTGAGTCGATGCTCTGAGGTGCTGTCCTCTCCTCCACCGTGAGTCGATGCTCTGAGGTGCTGTCCTCTCCTCCACCGTGAGTCGATGCTCTGAGGTGCTGTCCTCTCCTCCACCGTGAGTCGATGCCGTGGTTCTGCCCCGTTCGTCCCATTTGCATGTGTACATTCATGGCGTGAGACTAGTTTGTCTAGATGCCGTGCCATTCCATGCCGAGCCACAAGTTGCCATATTTCCATATCGTGCAAGTCGCCTTCACCATCCCTGTGTGTGCTGTGCGTGCAAGAGCTTTAGCCCATCATTCTCACCTTCTGCCACGACGTCCCAAAATGGCAGGAAACAAGTTGACCTTTTTGAGGCGACTCAAAAGTCAACTGGCCGTCGCCACCATCCCTGTGTGTGTGCTGTGCGTGGAGGAGCTTCAGCCCATCATGCTCGCCTTCAGCCACGACTTCCCCTAGCCCAGTGGCAGACAACACTAGCCTGGTTCCAAAAACAGACACCACACACTGACCTTGAATTCCTACTCACCACTCAACATCAGCTGTGAGAATCAAAATTTGGACATGCGCCTCTCCCTCCCTGCGTCTTTAAAAGCTCTCTCAGTTACAGAAGAGTCGCTGAAACTCGCCTGTCATGCCAGCCAGCAGCCCTCCCTCTCTCGACTTTCTCACGTTGGTCGGCCGCAAGAGGCTCACCGTTTCTTCACCCCCTCTCGCATCTACCGCCACTGTATACCTGAACGGACCCACCAGCCAAGAGGAACCTGGGTTATGTGGTAACCGTTCTGGTCTAGCCTGGTCGCCGCGCCATCCCCTCGCTTTCACCTTAGCAACGTCACCGGCGCAGTGGCATGGCACTTCCTAGTTACTCAGCAGCATAGCACCAACAGTGGAGACGCTTATAGTGAGGCATGACTGGCCTCTTGAGGACCTTTATGTGAATTGGAGTAGCCTGCTCTCTATCGGGATTGGTGTGAACGGCAGGGATGTTGAAGGGGTTAGTCACATGGCTACAGTGGCGGATGTTGATGATTGTTATCCAAGGAGGCGGACTGATGGGGATGGAGGAGCGAGCAACAATAGCAGCAGGGAGCCCAAAGCTCCGCGGCCTCCTGTTGTCAATGCTCCGAATCTGCGTCCCATGCTCATGGCGACTCGCCTCGCCGCTGCCTTCCCGAGATCCCGGTGACGTTTTGCCAAGGGAGTACCTTTCCCTGGGCTGCTACTGCATTGTGGGAGGCTCGTACCACTGGCTGTGAGAGGCTCGTACCACTGGCTGTGAGAGGCTCGTACCACTGGCTGTGGGAGGGGGGGAGGTGGAGTGATGTGATCTTTGCACTTGCGAAGTCTGATCAAAGTGATGGTGGCATCATGCACGCCCTTCAGTGCCTCTAACCTGGGTACTTCACATTCTTACGCCCACGGGACGTGCGAAGGTAGGAAGATGCTGGTGGAGTTGGGAAGCGAGGGAATTCCTCACAGTAACTCGCCAGTGACTGCCTGAGACGCTGGCTTCATTGCGCAGCAATTTCCCGCCCCTCACATGGTGCTGCATTCTTGGTTGGTCTTTTTGCTGGAGGAGGAAGGGGGGGAGCAGAGCAGCGAGCCAGTGATGCACGTGAGGGGGAGGTCAGGCCGTGGTGAGCGTGCGAGCCAGGGCATGGTGCAGAATGATCGTGACATGAGGTTCCTGCAAAGGTTTCATGAGGTTCCTGCAAAGGTTTCATGAGGTTCCTGCAAAGGTTTCATGAGGTTCCTGCAAAGATTTCATGAGGTTCTTGCAAAGGTTTCATGAGGTTTCAAAGGTTTCATGAGGTTCCTGCAAAGGTTTCATGAGGTTTGAAAGGTTTCAGAGGTTCCGTGAAACCTTTGAAACCTACCTGAGGTTGTGGGTGAGTGGAACCAAGTTCCCAGGTGTGAAAGTCATGGTGGAGGACTGGAGGTGAGGGAGGGGTTGACAACATGTGTGGGCGGGTTGGCTGCAGGGAGTGGGAATGAGTGCGTTGCCTTGCTGCACTTGGAGCGGCAGCTGGACAGCAGCAGTCGCTAGGTGTGCAGATAGAGCTGCTCAATTTGGACCCCAAGGATTGGTGGAGGACTGGAGGTGCGTCGGGGGGGAGGAGTAAGGCATGGTGTGGGGTTGGGTGAGGGGGTTGCCTGGCAGCTGATTGCAGCAGTCGTTAGGCGTGCAGATAGAGCTGCTGACTCTGGATCCCAAGGACATGGTGGAAGACTGGAGGTGCGTTCTGTATTCACTGCATGGGTTCCGGAGTGAGTGAGTGAGTGAGTGAGTGAGTGGATTGCGTGGCAGTTGGTGCTGCAGTTGGACGCGTTGCAGCAGTCACTGGGAGTGCAGATAGAGCTGCTCAACCTGGACCCCAAGGACATGGTGGAGGACTGGAGGTGCGTGTTGAGTTGACTGCACGGGTGTGTGGGTGAGAGTGAGTGGTTTGCCTGCCAGCTGGGCACACTGCAGCAGTCTCTAGGCGTGCAGATAGAGCTGCTCAACCTGGACCCAAAGGATGTGGTGGAGGACTGGAGGTGCGTGTTGAGTTGACTACGTGGGGGCATCGGATGACATGGTGTGGGGGTCAGTGAGAGCGTTGCCTTGCTGCAGTTGGAGTGGCAGCTGGGGACACTGCAGCAGTCTGTAGGCGTGCAGATAGATCTGCTGAATTTGGACCCAAAAAGATATGGTGGAGGACTGGAGGTGAGATGGGGTTGACTGGATGGTCGGATAAATGAGGCAGCGTGGACATGGGAGTAGGGGAGAGTGGATGGGTTGCCTCTCAGTTGGAGCGGCAGCTGGACGCGCCCGCAGCAGTCGCTAAGCGTGCAGATAGAGCTGCTGAACCTGGACCCGAAAGACATGGTGGAGGACTGGGGGTGCGTTAGGGGGGGAGAAGTAAGGCATGGGTGGGTGGGTGAGTGAGTGAGACAGCATGGGCGTGCAGATAGAGCTGCTGAACCTGATCTGGACCCCAAGGATATGGTGGAGGACTGGAGGTGAGCGTTAGGGGGGAGAAGTAAGGCATGGTGGGTGGTGGGACGGTGGGGTCTTTGGTAGGGAGCTAGCTGCAGTGCAGCAGTCTCTAGGCGAGCAGATAGAGCTGTTGAACCTGGTATGGACCCCAAGGGTATGGTGGAGAACTGGAGGTGCGTCAGGGGGGAGAATTGAGGCATCAGGTGGGACAGCATCGTGTGTTGGTGGTTGAATGGAGGTGCGTGTTGTGATCACTGCAAGGGTTTCGGAGGGAGTGAGTGAGTGGGTTGCGTGGCAGTTGGAACGGCAGTTGGACGCGTTGCAGCAGTCTCTGGGCGTGCAGATAGAGCTGCTGAACCTTGGGTGGAGTGGAGGACTGGAGGGTGCGTGTTGAGGTGACAGCATGGTGTGTGGGATGACATTAGCGTCTTCACCCACTCCTGCTTACCAAGTCCTCCTCTCTCCCCTCCTTCCCTCCCCCCACCCCCAACCCCACCCCCACCCACACCCCCACCCCCACCCCCACCCCCAACCCATCCCCTTCCCGGTTAATCTGCAAGGAGTGGAAGCAAGCAATGGCAAGGATTCGGGGCCTACCAAAGCACAGCTCACTAGCTGTAGCTCCTGCTTTCCAAGATCAACCCCACCCCCAACCCCAACCCTAGCACCCGCCGATCAACCTGCAAGGTGTGGCAGCAAACAATGGCACGAGCTTGGGGGCTACCAAAGCACAGCTCACAAGCAGTAGCTCCTGCTTACCAGAAGCTCCTCTTTCATCCTTCACCCCACACACCCACCCCCCCACCCCCCCACCCCTGATCAACCTGCAGGGTGTGGCAGCAAACAATGGCGCGAGCTTGGGGGCTACCAAAGTACAGCTCACTAGCAGCAGCAAACCCACCCCCACCTTTCCAGATCTGAAAACCTCCGAGGCGCCTCGAAAGTAAAACGCACTAGCAGCACCAAACCACCTCCACCGCCTTTCCAGATCTGAAAACTTTTGAGGCACCTCGGGACTACAGCTCACTAGCAGCAGTGAAATCAACCCCTTTCCACGTCTGAAGGCGAGGCCGCAACCAAGAAGAAGGGTTTATTCTGAAGTGCCTCAGAGGGGTATATATTGTCCTACCTGGAGGCTACCACCCCCCACTGGCCATTGAGGGATGTATATTTGTTAGAATCTAGTAGCAGGAATGGATTGACTAGATCAGGGTTTGGTACAAATATAAAACCCTAATGGAGTTGTACCCCACATTGGCTACCCCATTACAGCCTACGCATATATAACATGCATATAATTTGACACACCCCCATAAGAAAAGTGGGTGAGAACAAGGGGTCACAAGACTAGTCAAGAGAAGCAAAGCAAGCTCAGGGTGGATCACAACGTCACCACACACACTGAGCACAAGCAAAAGGCCACAAGGTCAGTTCACATGCAGAGGTATAAATGTAACAACAACAGCACAGTGATCTCTACCTACCAGGAGCAAGCATGCAGGTATATATATACATATATATATATGTGTATATATCACAGTACAGGCAGAGCCTACAGCAAGTGAGGAAACGTAGGCACAAGGCCCAACAAAGTACAAAAGCGCTGATGATCACACGCGGAAGTGCCTTGGTGAATATATAAGCAGTGTTGGCCTGAGTGGCCAAGTGAGCAAGACGAAGCTCACCACGCTGCTGCAACTCTCGAGCAAGGAAGTAATGCAGAGCGATGTGCTTCGTTCTGTGCTCCTGACACAAGGCAATGGCGGCCTTGTTGTCTACGTAGAGCACTGGAGGAGAATGAGGCCGCTCTCTTAAGTCGGTCAGCAGGTAGGTAAGTCAGCGTAACTCCTGTGCAGCCATGGGTGTGGCATAGATCTCAGCCTCGCAACTAGAGCTGAGAACATAGGAAGAGCGTGTAGACCGCCAAGAAACAGAGCCAGAGCCAAGGCTGAAGGTGTAACCCTGTGACGACCGCTGCGTAGCCAAGTCGTCAACCCAAGAAGCGTCCGAAGAACCAGTGAGGACAACATCGCCCAGTCCTCCGAGCACAAGCCCCATGCACGATGTACTGCACAAGTAGCATAGTACCCTCTTAGCAGCATCCATGTGCAACTTTCGGTGCCGACCAGGAGCCACGTAGCGAGCCAGAAGGCCAAGAGGGTACGCAAGGACAGGACGAGTGC